CCCCAAAACCCCAAAACCCCTTAAAGTCGTAATTTCTTTAATAAGAGTAAGATTTCTGTAATTAATTAATTAATTATCTATAAATTTAAATGAAAATATTTAGGTTTTTACCTGATAAGCCTTAGCCTTTGAATCAATTGGGACCATCACTTATTATTGTTTCACCTGATTTTAAATGTAACTTCTTTTTAACTTCTTGGAATGCTTAATTTACAATATATTTAATAAGAATTACCCTCAATTTTACTTTTTAGATCTTGAAAGCTTGTGGAAAAGACAAACAAAGTTAAAATTATTCTTGGATCAGATTAAAGAAGAATTTATAGATGCACATCAGATTTTGCTCTTGCCATTACAAAACCTAAACATTTAAGAGGACCATTAGGATATAACTTACAGCGGCTAGTTTGCTTTGATCATAGAGTATAAGGTAGATGATGAGGACAGGAAAGATTTACTGGTCAAAAGACTTCATGATATTAACTTAAGTAGATTGACCTAAGAATAACTTAGGCATTTATGCAGAGAGTCTATCGAAATCTTACTTAATCTAAGCTCATACAATGCAGATTTCAAAGTACTGAATCCAGACTGCTTTCTATTAGTTAAAAATAAAGATGTTAAGTTGGATCTGTTTTACTTAAGCATATTTGAGGATTTCAAAATTGAAATGAGTTTAGACAATGATGATCATAATGAATAAGTTGATTAAGAGTCTATTGCAAGAGAAATCCAAAAATAAGATGGAATAAAATTAAATGATCTCAAACAAACTTATGATAGCATTAAGCTTATTGGAATGAGCAAAAGGTATATGTTTCCTGGAATAGATAAATTAATCTAAGACAAAAATTTAAACAAAGAAAATGACCTCTCTGATAAATATAGAGTCTATTCATTAGGAGTAATTATCAAAGAAATGAATGAAAAATTGAAGGATCAGGAAGTTTCTAACCTTTCAAAAGATTTTATGTTGACTATTTAAAACTAAGGATCTCTTGATTTGATGGAGCATAGTCTGCTATAAAGAGACCTCGATTAATCTGAGTAAGAGGTGGATGATATTATCTATCATAAATAATTTTCAGACTTTTACACTATAATTGGGAATCTTGACTATTTAATAAATGAAAATAAAGATAAGAGTGAGGATTTGGAATAATTCTTTGATTCATTAGAGCATTTTGGTAGCTAATAGTCAAATAAACAATAGTATATTTGGGATTAGATTCACCATGGATTTCAAATATACAATTAAGAAGGAAGATATTCATTAATTCATGCATTTGATGTGTATTTATTGAAGCTTGCAAATAAATTTATCAGTAGTGATTATCTCAATTAGAGGAAAATAAATATTTTAGCACTCTAGGATTATTTTGACTACTAATCTTAATAAGATTAAGTTTAACGTACTTTTGTAGATATGCCACTTTAAGATATATAATATTTACTTAGGACATTATTTCCAGACAAAGTTAATAATTATATTACATAAATTCCCCAAAAAATAGAAGATTATGACAATAATGAGCAGCAGTTAATTCATCCAGATTTAAAATAGAAAGTACTGATTCTATAGATACTAGCTAATCTAAGTTTTCATTAGTAGAATCTAAAGTAGCTAAGATTATTAATTAAGCCGAACTAGGTATTATTACTTATAGACTAATTCATTGAATGTAAATGCTGTTTGCTTATTGCTTTAAGAATAATTCAAAATATGAGAAGCTAGGTGAGAACTGAAGAATTAATACTTAAACTTGTTATGATATATTACTAGTATAGTAATTTAGTAAAAAATAGCGATTTAATTTTAGAAATTCTGCTCCTCTTATAGATCATTATTGGAGATTAGAGTAAGTTTTTTGATCATAATATCTTGCTTGAGTCTGGATTAGTTATGATTCTAAAGACACTTATGCAATCGAGATATTCACATCAATAAAAATTGTCTATTGATTTAACTGATTTAACGAAAGATAATTTTGATCAAATCAATACTTTATCATCAATGATGCTATATAGCTATGGAATTTCAAGTAAGGACATAAAAGTAATAAACTATATTAAGAGATACTCTAATTGTAAAGAAGTTATAGATGTCATTAAAATTTTGAATTTTGTAATTTGATAGATAAATTATTAGTATAATCTAAATTAATGGCATGAAGGGGTTTTGGGGTTTTGGGGCATTGAAGAATAAACAATTGATAATCTTC